TTTTTTTTTCGGATCAAGTTCGAAATGGCCGACTGGCGGCCATTTTCTTAAAGAATTCAGTTCTGGATCCGTATCCAAGACATGTCTGGATTGATCAAGTTCAAACTTCACACACACATGGTGCATCATGTCACAAATAGATATGTGCATTTGTTTCATGATCCGCTTAGCAATAGCTGAATGATGGCCATTTTAAGGCCGAAAATGCATTAAAATCACGTATTTTCACAATTCCAGAACCGGATCTCAGTCATGCATGCATGGATTTTGTTCAGATTTAGTACAATGTGTTGTACATATGCAGGTGCATTTCGGTCATGATCTGCTTTGAATGTATATGTCACTCAAATATGAACGGAACGGGGACGTGTCATTGACAATGACTTGTTGTATTTGCTTTATATGCAGTGTCAAAACACAATATTTGAAACCAATGTAGGATGGACGTATCTGCAGATTTGAAGCAGATAAAAATGTATACATGCAGATAACAATTGTAATTGTATTACTTTAAGTGATTTGCCAATCACTAGGTTAATTATCAAAGCCCTTGTGGCTTACTGTGAAATACTGGTACTTTATTTTCGCTGGAATTTATTTTCGCTGAAAAGACTTTTTGGGTGTTTTGTATAGAATTTATTTTCACTGATTTTTGATGGGTTTAATGTAAAATATAGGAAAAAAGGTATATTCGCTGGATTTTATTTTCACTGAATCATTCCTTCAGCGAAAATAGCGAAAATTAATTCCAAGCGAAAATAAAATATTCTACAGTATTTAAACATCTCAACAGTTTACCTGTCATTATTTTATTTCTAATTTTTTACTGGAAATTTTTTATTACAAATTTAGTAAGTCACCTGGTATTTTCTGACGAACCAGATATGCTCGCATAATGGTAGAACATAGTACAAATGTGAAGATAAAATACAATTTACTTAGCTGTATTTTGTAACCCAAAAAAGTTTATAGCCTGAGAAAACTCGGGGAAATTACTGTAGAACACGTTGAAATAGCTGCTTGCAATTTTAGCGGATTTGACTCTTGGCATGAATTAACAAAATTCTAATTTAGCTAAAGTGCCGACTATGTCCCTGTGAGAATATATTTCTGTTAAATTAGCTACATCTTGAATTAGCAAAATTACAGATTAGCTAAATTGGCTAAAATAACATGCTAGCTAAAAAGACTTGTTTTACAGTATTTCAAAGTTGCAGCAATTATAAATGCATCTGTCGCTATTTTAGTTTTTGTCTCGTAATTTCTCTGTTTGAATCAAATGTCTCATGAATATTTAGTCACATGACATAATGCTTAGTGCAGTCATTTGAAACGAGATGAAAAGATGAGTTACCATAGCGATGCGGTAGTTGATGCTTCCTTTGTTTTGTTTCACAGCCGCCGACACCGCATCACTCTGTCACATCAAGCATTTCAAATCAACATCCACCGCAACCAGCGTCGGCACAGCAACATGCGTCATCAGGGCAAAGTTTCCCCCAGCAACCGTCGTCACAGCAACAAGCAACGCCACAGCCTGTACAATCATCACCGCAGCATAACTCTCAGACCCCTTCTCAGCAAGTCAGTCAACCTGTGGAGTTCAACCATGCAATCAACTACGTTAATAAAATAAAGGTGTGTGCTCGTAACTACGAGTTGAAACATTGAGTTTATGAGTTGACATGATTACATTACTGAGACGAGAAAATGTCATAGTGCTTTGTTCAATGAATGCCATCCACACATAAGGCATTTGATGATAGAGCTTTTTGTTTTTCTTTACATAGAATCGATTCCAAGGTCAGCCTGACATCTACAAAGCGTTTCTGGAGATACTTCACACGTACCAGAAAGAACAGCGGAATGTCAAGGAGTCCGGTGGCTGTTATCAACCGAGCCTATCAGAGGCTGAGGTCTATGCCCAGGTAGCTAAGCTGTTTCAAAACCAAGAAGACCTCCTACAAGAGTTTGGACAGTTTTTGCCGGATGCAAACAGTGCCCAGGCTACAACCAACTTTGTGAGTATATTACATTCAGATTGGCTGCTATACTCGTAACAACTGACAGTCAGCCAATCAGAGAAAACATTACATTCCTACAGATCTAAAAATATGGATTCTGTGTGATGCTTCTTACAAGGTTGTGTCTGATTGGCTGCTATACTCGTAACAACTGACAGTCAGCCAATCAGAGAAAACGTTACATTCCTACAGATCTAAAAATATGGATTCTGTGTGATGCTTCTTACAAGGTTGTGTCTGATTGGCTGCTCAACTCTAACACCTAGCAGTCTGACCAATCAGAGAGCAGGCTGCATTCCCACAGATTGAGTCAAATCTTGATACAAATATTACATTGCAGATGCAGGAGCTGAAACACCGGCCGCCTGGAGTGACCAATGATCACAGTTCAACAGTCAAGAAACCTGGCATGTCGAGTAAAAGTAATAATAAAAGTTCCCATCCAAAGAGAGCAATGTCTGGTCAACCGGGTGCCCCTCAGAAGGTATGTATGCTAACCTTAAAATGTCTGGTCAACCGGGTGCCCCTCAGAAGGTATGTATGCTAACCTTAAAATGTCTGGTCATGTACCAGTTCAGCAACAATTTTAGTGATTGAGGTACTCTTATTGTATTCTGTAAAAAAGTTGGGATTCAGCATCACCATAAGAGTTTGCCGCAATATCCTGTGATGTTGATGTCATTCGCTAATGTTGATGTCATTTGCTAATATTGATTTTATTCAGTAATGTTGATTTCATTCGCTAATGTTGATTTCATTCAGTAATGTTGATTTCATTCGCTAATGTTGATTTCATTTGCTAATGTTGATTTCATTCAGTAGTGTGGATTTTATTCGGTAATATTGATTTTATTCGGTAATGTTGATTTTTTTTCAATGTTGATTTCGTTTGATAATGTTGATTTCATTCAGATTTCATTTAGTAATGTTGATTTTATTCAGTAATGTTGATTTCAAGTAAGGGTAATTTCAAAATCTTCATTTTCAAGTCTGTACTTATTCAAATTATTTTTTTCTCGCAGAAAAAACGTTCTGTTAAAGACCCGTCACTGTCTGATTCCAGTAAGCATGGAAGCCTGAGTGAGTTTGCATTTTTTGACAAGGTAAGTGAGTAACCGTGAGGGCACTGTTCTCTCAGTTTATGTATAGTCTTTGTTATAAGGAAGTAGGATAAAGTATGTTCAAACTTTTTCCTTTATTTAAATTTTTCTTTAAAAAGTGAAAAAATAAAAAACAAGGCCACGTTACATAGATTGAATTTTACATTGTAAGCTGTTATTGTTGATTTGAATAAGGAATGGTATCTACTTTTATCTTCCTAGGTACGCAAAGCCTTAAAGAGCCAAGAAGTCTACGAGAATTTTCTGCGTTGTTTGGTTCTGTTTAACCAAGAAGTGATTTCTAGAGCTGAATTAGTCCAGATTGCCACGCCATTCCTAGGGTTAGTATGCTATATGTGGTGGGGAAGGGGGGTGTCAGTAAGATGTATGTGATAGTGGGTGGGGTTCAGTTCGGGGTTAGTGTTCTATGTGGTGGTCGTGGTGGGGTTATTCCAGTGTGTCTATGATAAGGCAGTGGTACTGTAAAATACTATTTTTGCTGAAAAGACTTTTTGGGTGTTTTGTACAGAATTTATTTTGACCGATTTTTGATGAGTTGAATGTAAAATATAGGAAAAAAGGTATAATTTTATTTTCATTGAATCATTCCTTCAAATTAATTCCACTTACCTTGGTTAAGGTCCACAGGTGCTCGTGATCGACCGGCCTAGTTGACGCCAGAATAGCACATTAAATTGCCATTTGACAGAGAGATGACCACACAGTCCTGTCATGTAGTCCCAAACATGAATATGACTTCTGTGGCAAAAATGCACTATGTCAGCACTAGCATTTGCAATTTGCACATACAAAAAAAAAAAATCAGGAGAGACAACATTGACATTCAATGTCCAGAACTGAGCCCGGCACAAAAATATTTAAAAAAAAATATATATATCCACTTTCCGTGGAAGGTACACATTTTGTGTGCATACCATAACTTTTCCATGTGTTCCATTTACAGAAAATTCCCAGAATTGTTCAAATGGTTTAAAGAATTCCTTGGATACAAGGAAAGTGATCGGATAGAGCCGCCTCCACAGACAAAAGAACGAACAAGTAGCGAACTCGCTATGGAGATCGGTAAGTTAAGATTTCATACAATAACCGGTAACTGGTAGCATAGTGGTTGTCGCATCAGACTCAAGATCGGTAGACCCAAGTTCAAAACCTACCTTTGGCTGAACATCAAAATGGTCGACCCCCAACCCTGGGTGAGTGTGCCACAGACTCAATGGGAAGGCCAATTCCACTGGCCGAGATTCATTCACTAACGAATGCGACTTTGGGGGAACCTTGGTTAAGGTCCGCAGGTGCTTGTGTTCGGCTGGGCCTGGTTGACGCCAGGATAGCGCATTAAAATTGCCATTTGACAGAGAGATGGCCACGCAGCCCTGTCATGTAGTCCCAAACATGAATACGACTTCTGTGGCAAAATGCACTATGTGTCGTCACTCGCACTTGCAATTTGCACATGTACAAAAAAAAAGTCAGGAGAGACACCCAATGTCCGGGGGGGGGGGGGGGGAAAAAAAAAGATTTCCTACAAAGTTGTTCCAGGGTTTGTATGCTCAGTAAATATAATAGTACTGTCAACCATTTATTTTAACTGGCATTTAATTTCATTATTTTGAGCAATTTCACTGGATTTCAAGTTCACAAACTTGACAAGGGAAACATGTTTACATGTTTTACATTTTACATGTTTATGTGGATTTATCTTTAGCGAATTTTACTTCTTAGCGAAAATATTGAAATTAAAACCCAGTGAATAATTAATGCATGTACAGTAGTATTTCCTGGAATATTAAAGGAATATTAAATACCTGGAAATTTTTAGAAAGAATTTTTGTAACTTAATCACAATCAGATGAGTAGGATGGGATGGCACAAGAAAAAAAACAACTAAAAATCAACTTGATGAGACGATGATTACCGGGAAAAAAAAGGGGGGGGGGTTACCAAAATTGTGATAAAATAGTTCTGGACTCCTGAAAATCTTAAAAAGTCATTGAGTTTTATTTAGTTTCATGCTTAAGAATCCTTTGGCTATAAAAAAAGAATTTGCCTTTTCTCTTTTTAATTGGACAAACATGACTGATCTTATGCCAATATAAAATCTTGGCATTGCTGTCACCTTGCTAAAAAATATATATAAACAATAAATGATTTTGTAAATAAAAAAATGCTTCGTTTTAGTTAACCTTTTATGCTTTCCCAACGTCACCAAAAGAACATAGTTAAACTAACAACACTCAACTGTTTTGTTTTGACGTAGATTTCTCATCAAGTAAGATTACAGGGCCATCTAGCGAGAAAATGACAAAACCTTACTCTCGTTTTATTTTGACGTAGATTTCTTATCATGTAAGCGGTACGGTGCCCTTTATTGAGAAAATAACAAAACCTTATTCTTGTTTTATTTTGACGTAGATTTCTCATCATGTAAGCGGTACGGTGCCCTTGAGAAAATAACAAAACCTTATTCTTGTTTTATTTTGACGTAGATTTCTCATCATGTAAGCGGTACGGTGCCCTTTATCGAGAAAATAACAAAACCTTATTCTTGTTTTATTTTGACGTAGATTCCTCATCATGTAAGCGGTACGGTGCCCTTGAGAAAATAACAAAACCTTATTCTTGTTTTATTTTGACGTAGATTTCTCATCATGTAAGCGGTACGGTGCCAGCTATCGAGCACTGCCTAAGAGTTACACACAGCCTAAGTGCACTGGCAGAACACCGCTATGTAAAGAGGTGTTGAACGACACATGGGTTTCGTTCCCATCCTGGTCAGAAGACTCTCAATTTGTGACGTCTAAAAAGACGCAATACGAAGAGCATATTTACAGATGCGAAGATGAGCGATTTGAGGTGAGCTTGTGTTGCCATGGTGATTTTTTTTATAGGTAATGTTAAAAACGAGGAGAGGGTATTTAAAAAATATATGTTTTTTTTTACCATGTATGCTGCCAACGGGTTTTTGCTGTCCTGTACTATCTAAAAAGTCTCAAAATTTGAATAATGTTTCGGGTGAAAAACAATTTTCTTGAATTCTGAGAAGTCATTGAAAAAATATCAATTAACGTCAAGTCTTATTTTCACTGACATGCATGCGCAGGGGACGACCCTCGCTCTTTAAGTTTATTACGCTCATTCAAGTATTTGTACGGTGATTGAGAAGAAATAACCATGCGAATTTGATAAAATTACTTTAAGTAGGGGAGACCTCAGATTTTCATGCAGCATACAACTATAGCGTGTTGTTGTTTACAAATAAGTGTCTACCCATGAGCCTTTGCGTCTGTTATTGTTGTCTATGACTTGATTCGTGCATGTGTGTAGGTGACAACCCTTTCGCTTTAACTTCATGATTCTGTTAATTTGCAGTTGGATATCGTCTTGGAAACCAACCTTCAGACAATCAGAGTCCTGGAAGGCGTACAGAAAAAACTATCACGCATGTCCTCTGAAGAAGCCGCTAAATTTCGTCTTGACAACAGTCTAGGCGGTACCACGGAAGTCATACACAGGAAGGCGATACACAGGATATATGGGGATAAATCATCTGATATCATCGAAGGACTGAAGAAGAACCCTGCCGTAGCCGTACCTTTAGTCTTGAGGAGGTATGTTACTTGGACTATGCTCTTTTTATCGTTAAAGTAATTTAAGTTTTCATTAAAAATCGGTATGTCCTCTAAAATCTGTATCAGTAGTCGCAGCTTATATTAAAACGGTTTATTGCAACAGAAAAGGTGTCTTCCGTTATAGCATTCACACAAATGAGAAACGATGAACTTTTGGTTCTCAATTGGTCCAATAAATGCAACTTCTATTAAAAATGCAGCTTCTAATACAGATTTTATGGTTTATGTGAATTCTTGCTTTTTTTCTTCTCAATTACGATATTTCTACATTAAGCCATACATAAGCCTTAGCCCTTGATCCATAAGAGGATATATTGAATGAAAGTCTTGGGAATTACTTGATCAATGTCCCATTTTGAGAAAAACTGCCTACAGTCAAATAAAAACAGGTTTTCTAGCACTCGTCCTAGTGTATGAGCAAGTTTGTCGTTGTGTTCGTAACGTTTCTGATTTATTAGTCATGCCTTCCTATGTAGCTGCTCAGTGTTTAATGCAGTAATTTCACTAAATAAATGAACAAGTCAGACAGGAATTTTGGTTTACACTCTTAAAAACTGCATTTTAGTACTGAGTAGTATTATTAACGAACCAATGGTGTCATCTAGCAGGAGTAACAGTGATATTAAAATGGCTGCTATGTGTGCAAAAAAAAACTTGGGTTGGAAAATTATAATCACATAGGCGCTTAGAATTTTTTTAAAATGGGGTTGACGACTTTTTTAAATTTCTCGCCACTATGTGGGACCGTTAATGCCATTAGACAAATCATCTGATTGTGGAGAAAATAGATTTTCTCTGAAGTGGAAACAGAGTTTCCACAAACCAGGATCTGGTAATATTTTCAAAATGGGGCAATCAACACTTAGAGTCCTACAGTTTCAATCAATATCTTTGCATCAATTGGGTGTAAGTATGGTTCAACTTTTATTATTATAATTATGAGTGAATTTGAGTAAACATTCTAGTGACAGTTTTAGAGAAGATTATAAGTATGTTACTTAGGCTAGGGTAGAGAGAGAGAGGGGGGGGGGGTCCAGATATCTTGGAAGACTAAAAAGGAGCACTGCTTTAGCAATACCATTGGTGTTGAGTTATGCTACTTAAGGATGGAGTTGAGGGGTTGGGGGTTGGGTCTCATACCATAAAGAGACTGAAAAAGAATACTGCTGTAGTAATATAATTGTGTTTAGGAGGTATGTTACTTAGGCTGGAGTAGAGGGAGGGTCTCGTACCATAGAAAGACTGAAAAAGAACACTGCTGTAGTAATATCATTGTGTTTAGGGGGTATGTTACTTGGGCTGGAGTGGGGGGGGGGGGTTGGGGGAAGGTCTCATACCATAAAAAGACTGAAAAAAAAACACTGCTGTTGTAATTCCATTGTGTTTGAGGAGGTATGTTACTTGGGCTATGACCTCTCTGTCAATAGTACCTTGGACGTTACACACAAGTCGACGCTACACAGGATATACGGGGATAAATCGGCTGGTATCATTGAAGGTCTGAAGAAGAACCCTGTCGTAGCCGTACCATTAGTCTTGAAGAGGTATGTTCCTGCTGGTACAGGGCTTGAAATTAGCAGTAGCTCATGCACGGCGCGCACAGACAACTAGCTTTTATTCTAGGGTTAGGGTTTTTCAAAACTTGTAACCCAACCTGACGACTATGGAAATTTACCAAACAAGAAGAATTGTAATTTGGTTTTACATAATCTGTATGTCTTTAAGTGCAAGAGTGTCTTAAACAAATTGAGCGTTTTTTTATTTTTGTTTACTCTCTAAACTTGATGGACTACTTGGTACTTATTATGTGACTACCAACTTTTATAATTGGTGGCCCAGTAGGCTTTAAAGAAATGTTAATTTCGAGCCCTCGGCTGTGTGCCAAAATGTAATAAATTAAGGGTTTTTTTTTTTAAATTTACTAAAACTTCACATTTACGTTGGTGTGTACATGTTTAATGCTTATTTCTTTTTTGAATTATGATTTTACTAATATTTTAAGAATTCAGTGAGAGCAGAGTTGGAGGGATGGGAGTCTGATACCCTAGGACAAGGAAAAGAATATTTTAAGGATCCCCTTAAAGCAGAGTTGGAGAGATGGGAGTCTGATACCCTAGGACAGGAACAAGAGCCCTTTTGTCATATTATTAGTGTTAAGGAGGTACATTACTTTGGATAGGGTAGATTGGGGTGGGGAGGGGGTTTTCATATCTCTGGACTAGAGGAACATTATTCTATTGTAGCTGGGCTATAAGTTTTGAGGCAAAATATTCAGTATTCTCACCAGAAATTAAATGTGTGGAGTTGAATTGTTCCATCAGTTTAGAAAGTATGAGGGAATTACACATCAATGTGAAGTATTCTGAATTATCACTTTTTTTTAACTTTTTTGTGAGACAATAAGTCTCATGAGGGGGGGGGGGGAATCTTGAACAAAAAATTAAACCTTGAAGCAATGTTTCATGTTTAATGTCTTGGTGAGAACACTGCTTGTTATTTTTGGCTGGGGTTTGGTATCATAATCAGTCATGAGGAGAATAAATAATTACATTTTGCAAATAGAAACAGGCAGTGACTTGAGATGCTTGCCTCACAAATATGTAATGTCTGATATGTAAGAATGCCAAAATGCAAAGGTAGGTGAGGATTTGACTGGGAGAAATCGTTTGAATAGTTTAACTTATTAAAATCAGTATACAGTGACGAAAAAACTTTAATAAATATTTTGTAAACACCAACTCATTGAGCAGTGTAGATTAATCTGTGAAACAAAAACAAAATATCCAGCGTTCTCTCAAAATATGAATTTACATATTTCTTAATATATCTGACTTTCACTATTGCAATTTTTTTTTTCTGTATTATTTTGTATACATAACAATATTGTATATATCCATGTCTCGCTGCTGACACGATATGAATAAAGATTATTATATTATTTTGGGTGGGTAGAAGTTGAGTGATATTATTAGTTTTGCGTAGGCGTTTTACTCGGTTGTTCGTAAATTGACTAAAAATCTACTGTAGTATGTTTATGTAATATGTTTATTTATTGCGTTCATTTCTCAATCTACTTAGGGGTGGGGTTGTTATCGTAGAACTGAAAAAGAATCGTACCCTTAGTCTTGCAGAGGTATCTTATTTTTGGTTGAGGTAAAGCAGCTGGGGTGGGGGCATGGTAGCTTGTTCTGATATCATGGAACTGAAAAAAGAATTATGGGCATATGTCCTTTATATAAAGGTGGCCACTGTAGGCAGGTGGCCTTTATATAAAGGTGGTTACCATGGGCTGGTGGCCTTTATATAAATGTGGTTACCACGGGCAGGTGGCC